CACACACACACACACACACACACACACACACACACACACACACACACACACAATCTATCTGTTCATAGTTAAAATATGAAGATCATATTTTGGGAAGTCAAGAGCTTTAGCAGCTTGGATTTGTTCCAGATCCTTGCCATACTGACTTTGAATTATTTGATACTTTTTTAAAAGAAAAACTCTCAGCGGAGCATGAATGCAGCTATTCAGAACATCTCGACAAGTTTGGCTTTTGGCCTTCCTTTAGAACAAAAACATCATTTACCATTTGTGCATTGCGCTATCTGGGCTATGAGAAGTTAAAACATGATTTGTGATATAAGCCGCAGTTGATCGGGTTCGCATAACAAGGTTAACCATGAAAATGATGTCCAAAACAAATATCAGCGGGGATTAGTGAATATGATCCCTCTTCAATCACATGTGTTTAACAATTGTCTTTTGCTGTGTTTAAAACTATGGTGTGCTTATCACCGTTTGGAGATCTCTGGGAAGATGTGCTGTAGATGATGAAAAAAGAGAGAGTAAGGTAAAAATAAAAAGACCAAAATGCTGAGAGAAGAAAGATTGAATAAAAAAATAAATAAAGATTTCCATAATTCCGTACCCAGTGTAGGTCAATTCAAAAGCATTTCTCCATTGGATAAACAAAGATTAGAACAAAAAATGCTGATTAGTTTTTGTGAGAATAAAATATGTTTTCTTTCTGATAATATTTATCAGCAAGTAATGATAAGTCTTTTAAACATACCCGGACCTAGTGTAGAAAACAAAAAAGATAGCTAGTTCAACTGCTAATATATTTTCAACTTCTATTACAATAACATTTCATTCAGATATTATATTCAAAGGTGATTCAGTTGAATCTCATATTAGAAAAACTGAGTGCCTCTGAAACCAATGTAGATGCGCCTACACAAATACACTTCTTTTCCAATCAATTCTAAATATTTCATAATTCAATCGATGATTTGAGCTGGACGTTGTATAATTTGCAAAGCCTCTAATTGACCCAAAAGAAAGCATATAAATAGAAGCTTCTGAGACTCACTTATTATAAGATTTTGATAAAAATAGTTTTCATTGCAAAACTGGAATACTCTAATAGTTCATTATGGATATGATCCATGCACACATAACATTCAGCAACACAAATCATTCTTCATCTTTCACATATTCACATTTTTTAAAGACTGAATCTGTACCAGGAAAATGGAAGAAGCATAATTATCATTTCCAGATATAAGAGCATACATGCAACTGATTATTTGAGCTTATTTATAAATGATATAAGCAAAGTCACTAGAATTATTGAGATGATTAACCTTTTTTTATGAAACTGTGCATGGTAAGTGTGGCACATGCAGTCATACACTACACTAATGTTTACTATGCAAGTGAAAGAGAAGATGGCTTTTCCATTCATTTCGTGTACAAAAGTCATCCAAATTAACATTGCTGATACAGCACTTCTTCTCAAACACAGTCGCCCCATTGGTGGGTTATAAATCATGCTAAGCCAGAGAATTGGCTTAAAAGTATACAGAGCAGAGGCATTTAGGATATTGAGACTTACAGCTTCCATCATACCTCATCGTTGGCTATCTTCCCTAAGAATGGCAGAGTATATCATTTATTAGCCTCTGGAATGCACAGATTATCTACTGTACTCCCACCAAGCAGACTTTGTTCAATTTTAGATCAGTGTGTTGTGAAAGCCTAAGTACTGTGATTTGTGTGCCATATTTATATTTATTGCGTTAAATGAAAGAAATCAATTTAAATTTAAATTACAAGTCATGATTAAATAATGTTTCAATATAATATGTGGAATATAATCCCAAATTATGTGGCCTGTTTCTCATGGAAACTGTGGTGGTGCAGGGGTTAGAATGCAGTACTGCAGGTTACTTCTGCTAACTGCTGCCAGCAGTTCAGCAGTTCAATTCTCATTGGCTCAAAGTTGATTCAGCTTTCCATCCTTCTGAGGTTGGTAAAATGAGGACCCAGTATGTTGGGAGCAGTATGCTGACTCTGTAAAACTGCTTAGAGAGGGCTGCAAAGTACTGTAAAGTGGTATATAAGTCTAAGTGCTTTTGCTACTTTAGTACAAGAACTAGTTTTCTATTTATAAAATTCAGCTTTCTGAAAATCTTACTTGAATCAGTCCTCCTAGTAGTGAAACTGCTGCAGCAACTCCAATCCTCTGCATCTCAAACTCAGATAAGCCCAATACTTCAGATGTATTGTCTGAAGTGAAATTGCTTATGGGAGGAACAAGACGCTCAACAGCATTTGCAGAAATCAAGGAGGTCAGAGCAAAGGTTCCTGCAAAAGAAGAAATAATTTTTCATCTGTTTAATTCCTATAAGATGACTTTAAGTTGCTTAGGAAGAAAGAAATATCTTTACAGCTAAGCCATGATTCAGTTTGCTTGGTTTGGAGATGACATGTTGTGTGAACCCAACCTCTGCATTTAAATATGTCTTATTATGATGATGTTTGATTTTTCTCATTTATAGCACATTTAACAAAATCATGGTTAAATAAACCATAGCTATATGATTCTAGACTATGTCCAACTAATGCTAATTCTCACTTGAATTCTTTGAACATGTTATGTTTTATAACCATTTTGAACTTCCGAAAGTTGTAAGATCTGGTGATATTGATTTATTAACTGATTGACTGAATTCTAATTATTGTCAGTACACCATAGCTATATCCACATATCCTATGTCTTTCCAGCATATTTTTCTTTCCTCCCTCAGAGCTGACGCCAGCCAGAGCATAGAAGTAGGGCAAAGATCAGAAGATGTGAAGAGACCTGACTCAGAGAATCGCCAAGAGTCAGACAAGACTGAATGGATAACATCATCATCATTTTGCTTTCTGCAAACATCACCTTTATACATGTTCTCTTGCCATAGACATTCATTTCCATATTGAGAACTCCATTGTACGTTATACAAATTCTAGGCAACAAACTGTTCACTGTTTTTTTGTATGTACACGAGTCATATGACTGCATATATATGCAATCTTTCTGCTGAAGCTTATCTGAATTTTTTTTTAAAAAAATTTCCAGGGATAGTTGGATGTCCAGCAGTGGTCTAGACTGCATAAATATTAGCATAAAATAAGGACAAAAGAAATAGTTTAGAATGCCATAGGTAGAAGCTGATTCTTTGCATGAGAAATCAGTTGCTGATTGTGTGTATAAAAGAAACAGCATGCAACAGAAAAGACTTCTATCTCAGTTTTTAGAGGGTTCAGGCACACAGTGCAGAGCAAGGTGGACAAATAGTTTAGCCTGCAAAACACACCTTTCCCTTTTCTATAGACTAAATTTGCATCCATCAATCATGGATGCAAGAATGTCTTCTTATATGGTCCCTTCGTAATGGGTGGAGCTATTAACTGCACATTTTTTATAGCACGGCCAACAAGTATGTTAACTGAAAATTATGAAAGTTGGTACCTATAGAAAAAAAAGTCATAGAAAGATTTAATTTAATTTATATTTGCTTCATTTAAAATCAAATATCATTAATATGGTCCTTCCTTCCTTCCTTCCTTCCTTCCTTCCTTCCTTCCTTCCTTCCTTCCTTCCTTCCTTCCTTCCTCTAGTCAGACAACAATTTGGTAATTCTTAAAGATTTTGAGAAGTAAAGTCAAGGATTTTGAAGCCCCTGTATAGCCCTGAGGCCTTGGGCTATTCATCTCTGATATATCTGAGACTTTTACAATAAGCACATCCTTAATGAACCAATAGATACTTAAGAAAACATAGCAGTTAAAAACATATATATATATTCATATATAAATATGAACATATAAAATATTCTGCTGACTCAACATTATCATCACTTCCAAAGAACTCGCCACAAAATTCAAATCCAGCTTGCCAGTGAGTGGCAAGAGACCTTTAACAAAATGCTTTGGATACATTCCGATGCAAATTCTATGTACTTTGGATGGGGTGTTGCTATCCTAGCAGACCACATGGCTCCCACAGGGCTGTTAAATGTAATGCTGAATGCACTTTTGGCACACAGGCTATTTGCAAAGAGCCACACAATTACTCAAAAGAACACAACTGCTTCTCAGAAAGCATAATAATAACCAGAGAGAATGTGCATGTAGTTGAGCTTTTCAGCCCCAGAGGGTTTGGCTTTGTGGGAGGTTCCATACAGTTCGGCATTTTAAGTGAAGAGACACGGTCCTCAATATCAGAAAGACACAATTCTTTATCTTCCTCCATCATGTTCAACCCATATCAAATTATGGGAGACATGACCCCATACCCAGATCCATTGTTTTCTGCAACTAAGACCAGATGGTTTCCTCTTCCATGAAATAAGCCTGCTTCACATGCTAAGAAGTCAATGTCTTTAATTATGAAGTTGAAGACTGTCATTGTTTCAGAATAAATGAAATACAGAATAGTGCAACAAACCTAACTGATCTGTGCTTGTTGGTCTTCATTACATACTAAGATATCAAAAGGAAAGAAAGAGGTAAGATTGCTAAGTTTTTCAAACTGAACCACTAGGACTTACCTGGGGCAACATGACGACCCATTCCAAATATGGCATAAATAATAGCAGGAAAGAATGATCCATATAAACCAAACACCGGATGCACTGATGATAGAATAGCAAAAGCCAGCCCTGTAGAAAAGGTACATTGGGAGAACAAGATACAGTATAAGCCATTAGGAAAATATAAACATAACTGATGGGAAGAATTCCCTTCAAGGGCTATTTTAAGAGGTATAAATAGCTATATTATAACCCTGAGAATTCATATTTCCTGCAGTCTGGCCTTTTCTAATAAAAGATCATTTTTGGCCCTTGAAAATTTTTGCTATTTGGAATAATTAATGGCATTGCATGATATTGCACACAGACATTCCATGACTTACTCCAGATTCCAATATTTTTATGTATAAGGCTGCACTATTTCTCAAACTAGCCCTATATTTTTTACCATATATTTGCAACCCAGATCTAATATCCTAAATTCAATATTAAAAATACAAGGGCAGGTTATGTGAAAAAGCAAAAGAAATTATAGTTACACCTTATTCGCTCTAAAGAAAGACACATGCAAAGTTACTCATTCTGTAAGGATTTAAATGCGTGAATGAATATTCTAAATTACATAATGGAAAAGCCAAGTAATGAACTTTCATGAAGTTGGGACACAAGCAACAATAGAAAAAAAAAGGCTGTGGTAATCAGGACACTTGCCAAACAAAACTGCAATGCAATTTGCTGAAAAATACTTCCAAGTTGTCCGTATTCAAAGTTATAACTACAAGGGCAAAAAAATCTACGGTACTTAGAACAACATCCAGGGTTAAGGAGCACATTAGTCATTCATAATCTGGAATTTGGCCTTGTATTCTATAATTTTTTAAAAAAATCAAAAGCTTAACCAGCTATAATTTAGGAGCAAGGGGAATCTTCTAAATTTGTTTTAAATTTACATTCAATCTCTTAATGTCTATAGAGCAGTGACGTGAGGTGAGGTTTATGGCTGGTGAGGCAGTCCTCTCCCGACACCCCACTGACTAAAGCACTTTCTTTTGCCCGCCTGAGCTCGTGGTAGCCCGCCTGAGCTCTGCCGCAAGCACAGGCGGGCGAAAGAAAGTGCTTTAGTCAGTGGCGTGTCGGGGGAGAGGAGAGAATGCCTGAGCATTGCATTTATTAAAGAAAAAAGAAAAAAAAAGGAAATTTGAAGGAAAAGAGGGAGCGTGGGGTGGGGGGCATCAGAAACGGAGAAAGAGTGGAAGAAGAGTGAGCGCGATGCTGCAGCTTTAAACAGAATGACAGAGTTGAAGCCTCTAAAAATGCGTCCTCTACTATGAGGCAGGAGAACTGCGTGCCTCAACTATCTCGGGGTTTTTTAGGCTTTTAACCCTCGCTTAACTCTGCTCGAGCGCCTAAAAAATCAGACTAGATGAGGCATGCAGTTCTCCGGCCTCATAGTAGAGGACGCTTTTTAGAGGCTTTTTTAAACAGGCAGTTATTCACGGTGTGGCAGCAGCTAGCTAGCCTAACCTCAGCACTCGCCTTTTCCTGTTTACATTTTTTTTTCCTTTTCATGATTGACAGTGGTGAGGCTGTGCCTCCTCTGCCTCCCCTGACTGCACGTCACTGCTATCGAGATTCTCAGTTATGCAGGTCATGGTTGTTTCAAGAGGCAACTGGACTATCTGGTTTTTCTTTGAAGACATTTCGTTTCTCATCCAAGAAACTTCATTCAATCTCTAGAATGGAACAACTTGCCTCCAGAAGTTGTGAATGCTCCGACACTGGAAGTTTTTAAGAAGATGTTGGATAACCATTTGTCTGAAGTGGTGTAGGGTTTCCTGCCTAAGCTGGGGGTTGGACTAGAAGATCTCCCTTCCAACTCTGTTATTCTATTCTATTCTTAATTGGTACATGTGCCAGGTCCCTTCCTGAAACACTTTTTCTGCGGTCGCCTCATCCTGTGGAACGTCTTCCCCCAATTGATTCAACAGGATCCCTAGAAGGCCATAAAGACCAGTTGTTACCGCTGGAACTTGGGTAAACTTTGATGGGAGTCGGTGGATGGTTTTGGGGGCATCCCAGCAGGATTATTGAGCTATTTACGAAAAATAATAAATGTGAGATATGCAGAAATAAATAAGGGGCTTATATGATCCCAGGCTCTTTGATTTTGGCCCTGGCCAATTTAATTTTCTAAAAAAAAATTAAAAACTCACCTGGGAGGCACCACAACTTTGAACAACCTAATGCACATTTAGGACATCATTTTTAAAAATCCAGTTAAAATCAAGCTCGGTTTAAGCTAGGGCTCAGTCCAATGGAGTATATCTAATTAAATTTAACAGGGATTTTTGTTTGCTGAGACAAGTATAGAAATGCACCGTTAAGTATTTAATCCAACCAATTTCAGAAAAATGTAAACATTCCTAACTTCCTGCAGGTGATGCACTGAAGAATGAGAGAGCCAGCAGAGCTAACAAAAATGCTAGTATTTACAAAGAATATTCCGCTCCAGTTTTAACTCAAATGATTCCCCAGCTTTTTAGTCCTCACCTTCTAAAATGTCAAGAAGTTTCTAGGCAACCCATGTCTTGTTCAGTCATCATTTCAGAGATATTTGAATTACCATATTCCTCAATGTTTTCAACAATGTCAGAATTTCTAATGTACTGCCTCCACTGGAAAAATTCCTTAAAATTCAGGGAGATTTACAGAGATGCATCTGTCTTGAAAGTAGCCCATGGTGAACTGTTTATCACAATCAAACATCAGGAGTTGATCATAATGTTTTAGGATATTTTGTATTATAAAAATTATTTTAGAAAATTGGTTAAATTTCAGTTCCAGCCGAGTCATGGGTTCTAGATTTAGACACATGCTGTAAATTAATCTATTTGAGGAAATTTAATTCAAAATTTCAACAATGCATCCTTTCTCCCCTTGCTGACAAACTGAAGAGTTTTAGTGGTATATGCCATCTTTCATTTTCTGTATACAGAGTTCTGCAGTTCTCTTTTAAATGGACATACATGTTAGTACCGTGCTTAAACTGACAATTTGGTTACACATGTTTCAGATGACCAATGCACAAGGCAATTTATAGATTGAATGAAGCTCTCATGGATACATATGATCCATTTCTCTGATTTTTTTTATAGATTGAATGAAGCTCTCATGAATACATGTGATCCATTTCTCTGATTTTTTTTAAGTGGCCCAAGAAAGAATGCCTTTGCCAACTTATGAAGCCTTTAAATTCTTTGACTTTCTAAGAAACCCATAATCCAAAGGAAAGATAAGTGAGCTTCATTAGGTAGCTATGACTAAATCCTTGGGCCAAGTGGCCCAAGAAAGAATGCCTTTGCCAACTTATGAAGCCTTTAAATTCTTTGACTTTCTAAGAAACCCATAATCCAAAGGAAAGATAAGTGAGCTTCATTAGGTAGCTATGACTAAATCCTTTGCTAGAAAATTCTATTGTGAAAGCACAGATTAGGTGCTTTTAATTTAGTGGAAATTACTAAAGAGCAGGGATAGGAACTAGTGAAAACTTTAAATATATATATTAATAAGCTACCATATTTTTCGGAGTATAAGACGCACCGGAGTATAAGGTGTAGCCAAGTTTTGAAGAGGCATTTTTTTAAAAAGTAGGTAGATAGAGGGATAGAGAGGGAGAGAAAGAGAGAGAAATAGAGTAGGTAGATAGGGAGAGAGAGAGAGTATTTAGGTAGGTAAGTAGATAAAAGGATAGAGAGAGAGAGAGAAATAGAGT